TTAACAAGTAGTTATATAATTTTAAAGTGTTTGGATGTATCATTATTTAAGTAGTTATAAAATGTTATCTTATTTTAAAAAGTAAAAAATAATAATTAAATTTTGACTGAAAATAAAATAAAATAAAATAAAAATATTTTTAGTCCCTACAAAATAAGTTGATTTTGATTTTAGTCCCATAAAATTTTTGCTTTATTTCTCATCCCTCTGAAATTGAAACTATTATTTTTATTGCCTATTTTTTGTGTGAACATTTTAACCACTTTTTGTCTATTGAAAGATTGAGTGAATATCTTAGGTGTTACATATAATTGTTAGTAATATTAGGCCATTGTTTAACACCTCTTAAATTTTATATAGATTATTAAAATAATTGTTACTCATCTACCTTAAAATAATTGTTAGGAACTAAAAGTAGGAACTTTAAATTTTAGGGAGATAAAATAAATATATATATTTTATAATGATCAAACTAAAATTTATTTATTTTACAAAAACTAAAAATAATGTTTAAAAATTTTAGAAGGATGGAAAATAAAATTTTTTTATGGAATCAAAATCAAAAACCCCCTAATTTTATAAGAACTTAAAACATATTTAAGTCAAATGAAAATATAAAAAAAATAACTAAATAATTTTTAAAAATGATATTATACATTACAATAATATTAAAAATAATAAAAATTTACTAGTCATCATTTACCTAATTTTAGTTTATAAAAAATAAAACTATTAATAAAATATGATAAATTAATTAATATATAACCATGATAAAAATTAAGAATTATAAATTTTAAGATTAAAAATTAATTCTATATATTTTATTAATTTATGATTAAAAAAAATTTATTGTATAGATATTAACAATAAAATTATTTCAAATGTGCTATTTTTGGGGGAAAAAGTTGCGAGTTTTTTTTATGACAGGTGAATGTGGATTTTGGAAGAAAGAGATTAAAGAAATTAAAAAAATTAAAAAATAAGGAGGAACAAAAAATTTTGGAAAGAGAAACGAGAACCTTTGGAGGGAGTAATAAAAAAAATAAAAATTATTTTTAGTGAAAAATGATAAAATTAAAAATAAAAACTATTTATGTTTGTGACAAAGATCAAACTTAGGTGTTTTTCAATAAGTTTCTGTGTTGGTTAAGTAATAAGTTGTAATAAGATATAATAAATAATTTATCAAAATAAATTCAAAAATATTAAATGAGTGATATTTTATAACTTAATTTGTTCAAATACTTTTATAAATATTTATGAAATAAGATATATACAAATAAGTTGTTCATAAAATTTTCTAAATAATACCTAAAAATATTATCATATACTCTGGTGCAAAATATTCAATCATATATAATATATAACAATGCATAGTGTTTAGAGTTTAGAATTTAGAATTTAAGATTTAAGAGGGTTATCTTCATTTTATTTTTTCTTTAACACTTTTTTTTAGCACTTAAACGTATTAAAATTAAGGACTGTGTATAGTAAAAAAAATATTTTAATTTATGTAATAATGTGTGATATAAATCGAGTAGCAATCCTACCATTAATATCACTTAAATAATATAAATTTATAGAATAATCATTTGTTATTATAAAATTTAGTGATGAATAATTTTTAAAAAAAAATTATTTTTATATGTAACAATCAATAGTATCAATTGAATATTTTATCTTTGACAGTATTTAATTGTAAGGATTTAGTAACTAACCATTTGTTAACTTAAATTCTTGTTTAAAGATAATAAAAAATATATAAAACTTGTCATCTTTTTTTTTTTTGTGTTGATAAGATAGTTAGTTATAGATTTTTTTTCTTTCTAGAATTGACTTTGTTTGATGGGATGTTATTCTTGATTGTTCAATAAGTATATTTTAAGAATCGTTGTAATTTATCTTCACTTTGATTTTACTAGTTTTTATAGTAGATTTTTGTAATATTTCCACTTTTTTTGTTATATTTTGTTAAATATACCAAAAATGATCGATAATTTTTGAGGTGTAAATGTTGTTGACATGTCTTAATTTTATAATAATACTTTTGCATGTCCCACCTTTATTTTTTTTAAAAAAATCATATATTTACGTTAGTTTTACAAATGTTTTCTTTCTTGCTTCTTTTCCCTCACGTGTAAATTGCAAGTAATCATTACTTTATAATTGAAAGCCTTAGACATATATATAGCTAGAAGCCACAGCAAATAATAAGAAAATATGTAAGCTCAAGCATATATAATATACTCTCACAAACGACCCAACAAGGTAGGTATAGGAGGCACACATGCACTCAGAGAAACATTGTAACTTGACAAAGGCAAGTTCAGTTGCTTTATTACTCACAAACAGATAGTGATACCAACATAGTTGAGAGTTGTGAAAACACCATGATGGAATGACATAACTAGATTAGATCCTCTCTTGAAGATTTGGCTGCATAGGCTGCACACGAAAGGCAAATGGCATTTGGGAATTGTAATCCCTTACACTCTGATCAAACCCATTCTCCATTTCTCTCGAACCTTCCACTGCCAAACGTTGTTGCTGCATGCATGTTCAAATAACACAACACAAAAACACAAGACATGTTAGCACAAGCTGGCCTTGAGTTCTTTTCTCGGGAGCAAACCAAAAAAATATATGTTCTTGTAACTATTTTAATATTATCTATTATAATTTTCAACCCAACAAATGTAAACAACAAACAATCAAAGACATGCATTAACTTGAAAAAATAACTAAATATAAGATATGTTTATATGAGACTATATATGAACTATACTTAAATAGAAATTGTTAAATGGTAATACATTATAAATAAAAAAAATTGCGACAATCATAGTGGAGGGTCTCATTTGATTTCAAGATTCTAGTGAAAGATAAGAGGTAAAAATTTACAAAATTTATTCAGATAATTAAAAAAATGAGAGATTAAGAGAAAACGACAACATTTAAGATAATTCTTATTATAACTTTACATCCATATTTTAGAAATTAAGGGGAAAAAGAAGAAATTAATAAAAACTATGACACTTTTTTTTTACATTAAACATTAATGATATATTTTTATAAAATTATAAGTAGATTTTTATTGAAAAGTGAAAATAACATGTATTAATTAATTAATCAATTTCGCAAATTTATACATCGCGCGAATTTACAAAATTAAATTCTAACATAGATTATTGATGGAGTTCTCACATCAATAAAAATATATAAATAAAAAATAATTCTTACATTACAAGTCAGTTTTGTAAACTTGTTATTAGATCGTTATTGAACCACTATACATGAGATGTTCAATCCTTACCGTGAAGAAGATGTTGAAGATCCCATATTAATATGTGAGTTTTATAAATAAACTCATATACATAAATAATATTTAAACATGTTTCAACTTTAAAAAAAAATATTTGATTTGATCGGACATAGATACAAATATGGATAATATCAAATTTATTAAACCAGCTTCGAAAATAAGAATGAGTATAACTTAAAAAAATGTAGCCTCTACAAAATAATTTTCTCATCTTTTAGTTCTAATATTCATTTCATTCTAATAAGGTATTATACCTATGTGATCAAATATGGCGACACTTTTTTTTTTGTTTTTTTTTTTAGAAAGTCCTCAAATTAGTCTTCCGAAAATTACATGCATAAATACTGTGTTGGTTTTTAGAACATTTTTTTAACTAAGCTCTTCAAATATTTAAATTTTCACTATTTTAGTCTTTTAAAGATCTTTTGCCATCATATCAGTTCCTCAAAAATATGAAGTGTCACCGTATAGATCTTCATAAAGACTGCAGGGTGGTGATATATATAAAATTAAATGATGCTCATTTGGTGGGGGGGAAATTGAGAATTAAAGTGGTGACGATTTTTAAAAGACTAATTTAATGAATAAATTTAGAAGAGAAATCTAATACATAACTTCATTTTAGTTTATTTATCTACTGTTTTTATGAGGACAGTGAGATTAATTTTTGCACAAAATCACAATATAGAAACAAAATTATAGTGGAGTGTTTGTCATATAAGTTAAGTAGCGTGTTAGGGATCATCGATTAATCATGACCTGATGAACAATATGAATGTATTTATTATTAGCTATTGATATCATTATCCTTTAGGATCCGTTTAGTTTAAAGGAGATAAGAAAAAGAATTTTAATAGAAAGATCGAAGGAGATAAGTTAAAATTTGTTTAACCAGAGGGAGGGGAGGAGAAATAAGGATTTTAAAAATTAATTTTTTTTTTATATTTTTATAATTTTAAATTTAATAATATAAATAAAAATATTTTAAATATTTTATTAAAAATATTTTAAAATTCCTTACCTTTCCTCCCAATTTCTCCGATGTCATTGAGGAGCTAAATTTGAGTTATGAGGAACTTTGCTCCCCTCCTTTCTCTTCTATTTTTTTTTTGGCTAAATATTAAACCAATCAAAAGAAGTTTTTAAAAATGTCTCTCCTCCTCTCTATTCTTCTCCAACCAAATATTATGTGAATGTTATTACATATAGATTAACAAATCATTAATTCATGTATATCTTTGCCTGGCTTATGCCTTATTAATTAGTCCTCTCTCTTACTTTATTTAGTTTTTTTTTTTAGAGGAACTTACTTTATTTATTAGCTGATATAATTTTGAGTTAAATATCTATAAAAAATTATTAAATGAGGGATGACTAGAAAAAATTGATCAACTCTTGAATTCTTAAATTGACAATAATTCTAAAACAACCAAAAAGGTCTGAAAGCTTAGTTTTGGAATGGAAAGGGCATGAAATTGGAACTTCTCATGCATGGTGTTTTGGAAAAGAAGTAACCATTATATGCATTAAACAGTGATGTGGAATGTATTACGTACCCACAGAAAATTAAGTTCTCTGTTCTCCTCCTCCAAGATCTTGTCCTGAACAACATTGTGTGCAGAGAAGAAAAAGAAAAGTTAGTAGTTCGTTTTGCATATTATTAAAAACTTGTAAATCACAATATTAACTAAACATACGTTTCTCCTGAACATCCTGTATACATCCATCTGCAGAGAAACACAAGAGTTTAACTATCAGATATTATTGTTAGATTTTGGCTGTCATATATTAGAGTTTTCAATGTACAAAACTGTTAGTATCATGCACACCATATGTAGCACTCATATTCAAAAACGTGAAACATATGCTTTATTAGTAGACATATTTGAGTAAACTTTTCATAACACATCATAACAATTAAGTTAATTTGTACAAATTTTCTTATTAACTTTTCTAATAAAATCTTATTTTTAATTTGTGCATAAGTTAGTTTTAATTTATAAAAGTTCATTTTTTTTTATCTTAAAAATATTTATAGAGAAATTTATCTAAATATATCTTATATTATTGGCCACATACTTTTTACAGTTTTTTTTTTAATTTTAAAATGCATGGCATAGAACATGCCAGAAGGGATAACTTAGTTAAAAATTTAGCATCTTGAAGAATAATTTGCCTGTTTCTCGCGCACACTGACGAGACCAGTTTCTAAGGCATCCTCTAAGGCCATGAGCTCCTTGTAGTTAAGAGAGTTGATATCCTCCCCCTTCAAGTGCCTGAAATGTATTATTAGTTGGTGAAAGATGGTGCGTGTGAGAGAGAAAATAAGTATGCAATATGGCTTAAAAAAAGGTGCAATGCTATGATATACCTGAGCTCAATTTGCATGCTGTCATTCTCTTTCTTGAGTCTCTCAATTTCGCCGTTTAGGTTCTGAGTTCAACAACATTAAACGTTACAAACCCTAACATAGTAGTAGTTGTTTTTTCTTAAAAAATAAAAAAGGAAAAAGAAGAAGAAAAGCAAAGAAAGAGAAAATAATAGGGATGTTCAAAATTAAAGGCTAGAAATCCTCAAAAGAAAGAGCTATTTGGAGTAGATCTGACTCTCTAAGCTGGTTTTAATGTCAGTCAATAGAGAGATCCATCAAGTATATGAAAGACGTTTATATGTAAATCTTTATTCCTAGTTGTTGTTTCATTTTTTTGCAAGGGAAAGAAAGCAAGGGAATAACGTTTTATTGCCAGATCTGTTCATAGATGTTACATCTCTTGTAGTTCCTGCTTCTATTTTTCAATGATAATAAAAAAGCAATATAATACTCACATGTATAAGGGGGAAGGTACAACCCAAATTTAGATCTGCTCAGAGAATTCATAGTTCATGTTCCTTAGCATATTTTTAGCAAAAGGGTGTGTCATTTTCCTTTAGACAAATCGAAGACAAGCAGAAAAATAGGAGCTATATAAATTAACCAACCTCATGCTTGGCATCCCAAAGCCTCTTCCCTGAGGTCTTGTGGTACCTCTCCAATATGTCAATCAACCTTCATCATACAAAAGATCCAAATCCCACAAAACAAAGGCAAAAAAAGTAATAAGACTTTAATTTAATTTGTAGATCAATATCAAATAGTACTATTTTCATGCACTTGGCCCCTACCTTGTTGTAAAATGCCCATTATGAATCAGGAATAAAAATTACAAGAAAAAAAAAAACTTGAGAGAAGATAAACATGCAAAAAATATATATATATAAAAGATCTAGCTAATATCGATTAGCGATATGTCTAAAATAAAATATATAAATAAATAATAACTTTTATTTTAAAAATTAATTTTATAAGATTGAGTTAAATTTAAATTCAATTTTTAAAATGGTATCAACATTCACATAAAAGAAAAATAAAATAAAAGATACTTACGTGGTAGAAGGACTTATGTAGTCATGCATTTTCCCAGATGCAGCAAAGATGATAAGAGAAACTTGAGCATCACATAGAACAGTGATTTCCTTGGCCTTCTTTAGGATCCCATTCTTTCTCTTTGAGTAAGTAACTTGCCTGTTGCTTGAGTTCTCGATCCTCTTGATCTCAATCTTACCCCTCCCCATTTCTCAAACCTTTTTTTTTTCTGTCTCTCTTTTTTTCTTCTGGTCGATCTCTTCTTGCTTGTGAAATGGAGAAGTTAGGAGGGTTGCAAAGATAAAAGTGAGAGAAGAGGTAGCAACTTGCCATAACGGGTTTGAGGATAAGGAACTTTCTTTGGGGCACAGTGGACAGTGACAAAGCCAACAAATGTAGCTTTTACATGATGTTTGATTTGGCTTTGTTAGTTGTCGCACTTTCTTAACCATTGGTTTCCTTACACACTCTCATGGTTATTTAATTGTAATATGGTTTGTGGCAAAAAAAAAATGGTATATACTTTTATTTAGTTATTTAGAAGTTTATCATAGGGTTAAGGATCATGGGGTAGGAAAGGGTAGGGTGTGCTTGGCTTGTGAAATTGGGTTTGGTGGTGGCTTTGGACGACACGTAATTAAGGTGTATTGAAGTCTGTGATATATATGAATATATGACTTTCCTAGCTAGGATTTGACAATGAGGCTATCATTTGTTTCCACGATATAGAAAAATAGAATAAGGTTTTGGAAATTTTGATTTTAAAACATTGAGGTTAAAAAAATAATTTACTTATAAAAATAAGTTTAAAAAATTATTTAGATAATGAACTTTAATTAATGCATAAATATACATTAAAAAAAATACGGTGAGAAGACTTTTATTATGAGAAAGTGAAAACAGTGAATTATGTTCATTAGATCAAATTCTGAAGGACTAAGATTAAAAAATAATGTCATTAAATTTTTTAAGTACTCATAATTATTAAATAATTTTTAATCTTAATTAATCATATTATATAATCCAAATTTACTTCTCGCATCCTCTTTTACGAAGTACAAACAATATTTCTCCAACTTAATACGTTATCCCTGAATGCGAATATACTTTACTTTATATTTAGGTTCACATTTTTATTTATTTATGAGAATCAAACTTGCTATTAAGAAATCTACAACACTCACACACGATATTCAATTCAATAATATATTTATGTCACATTTTGTATGTGTTATTTAGGTCACGTTTAAGTAATCAGTTCAATTAAATTAACATTTATTAATTCTATACATATTATTTCTAATAAAATAAAAGAATATTCTATTTAAGTGAGAAACATGAATTAGTTAGAAATAATAATTTTGATAAACTTTTACGTGAAATTCATTGAAAAAACTATAAAACAAAACTCATTAGAAAACCATAATTTTATATACTTATTTCGAAACTATTCACCTGACAAGCAAACTTGCTTCTTTCGTTAATAACTATTTTGGCCTTCAACTTACTATATTTGCGAGGCAAACTACAAAAGATCATTGTAGTTTTGTAAGGTAACAAACAAATTAAGTATAGTAATCAGGGATGAACCATCAAATGAGAATGAGATTTAATTAATCACGGACTCACACGATAAGAAAGGAAGCATTTGAAGCAAAGACTAAAAAGGGGAAGGGAAGTGTTCGAAGCATAAAGGGAGGTGCACAATTTGGTCTAAGTCAAGGTCATAGTTGAAACAGGAAGAGAAAGATTAGGTCTTTTGTCATGGTTTCAACAAGCACCTGTGGATTTGAAAGCTTCGTAAATTTGTGTTCACTGCCATGATATTTCGTGAAATGACAACATTCAGAAGGAACCTAAGAATCTTCAATTCACTATTTCCATTGAATTACAAGTAATACAATGTTTATAATAAAAATTGTATAATATCATTTTTTATCTCTATCTCACTTTATCATTAATAACATCTTTTCACAATAAATAAAAGAAGACGAAAGATAGATATAAAAGTAAGTTTGTATAATTTTTATTATATGTGTAGCATTACTCTTTAATTATTATGTGTTTTCATGAGAAGTAATCATACATGATGAAACATTTCTCACTTCAAATATCTTATTCATGCTTATCATTATTATTTTTTTAGGTTAAGACATTCTATATAGATCCTTTTGTTCTAAATTTACGCTTGTGAAAAATGAGATTTAATAACATAGTATTCCGATGATTGTTATAAGATTGGTGAAAAAAGAAAGGTGTCGTGACATTTTTGTGCTTTCTCTTTGAAGCATGTTAGGTGTATCTCTGTATAAATATTTCACGGACATCGGCATCAATGTTTCTAAAAATGGTTTTAAGATAACTATTTAGTCTCCAAGTTATAATTTGATCTAAACCTATTCCAAGTCATAGTTTGACGTATACTGAGTTAAACATTTGTGCTTCTTTTGGTAGAGCAAAGAAGAAAGGAAATACGAAGAGAAGTGAAGTAACTGTTTACACGTGTTGGTGAAGAAGTGAAGAAATGGGAAGGAATTGATGTAGTGCCTACATGCAAAAATTTCCTTCCTAAAATATGAAGAAATGCACGAAAGTTGACAAGTTAATATTAACATGATTATTTTACTTCTTTTTTAAGGCTATTTATTGCATTATAATTTATTATATTATAAGAGATAATCGATTATGTTGCATTATTTTTTTTATAAAAATTCTCTGTATGATCGATTAACTTCATATTTTTCTTCCTTCTTAATCGATTATTCTCAACTCTAATTAATTACAAATCTTAACTAGCCGCTTTCCTTAATCGATTAAGAAAATATTATTAATAATAATAATTTATTAATATTAATAAAAAATATTCTTTTTTTAATTAAATAAATTTTCAAAACATTAACTCTCACTTCCCTTTTCTTCTCTTTCTCTTTAACTAAAGAACTATATTTTAGTAACAATCTAAACATACCAAAATAAGAAGATTTTAGAGGTTTGTATAGGTGAGAGACTGTGCAGTTGATTTTTATTTAGCCGCTTTCCTTAATCGATTAAGAAAATATTATTAATAATAATAATTTATTAATATTAATAAAAAATATTCTTTTTTTAATTAAATAAATTTTCAAAACATTAACTCTCACTTCCCTTTTCTTCTCTTTCTCTTTAACTAAAGAACTATATTTTAGTAACAATCTAAACATACCAAAATAAGAAGATTTTAGAGGTTTGTATAGGTGAGAGACTGTGCAGTTGATGACGTAAATGAATTAATTAGTATTATTTATACTAATAAGATATATATACTTTTCTTTAGTTCATCACTTAAGCACTCTACAATTAAACATGTTTAACTTTAAACAATTTAGGAATGAGTGACATTCTCAGAAGTTTCTTAGAAAGTGTAACGGTCCGAACACACTAAAATAAGAGAGATCCAAAGATTGTACAATTGTGAGATTATATAGTAGAAGATGACTTAAAGGAATTAATTTGTACTACCTATACTAACAAGATGCATCTACTTTTTGGTAGCTTATCCCATAAAAATTTCATAGTTAAGTGTGTTTGACTTAGAGTAATTTAAGGATGAGTAACTTTTCTGGGAAGTGAGTTGCGTGAAGTGTCATCGTATAAAGTGTCATGGAATAGAGCCATTGAGAGGTCAAATCTCAAGGGTGTTACAGAAAGTATGTGAGAGAAAAAATGTTGAATAGTTTTACATTGGTTTGTGAGAACAATCTTTGATCTTAAAAGGCAATTAAACATCTCCCACAAAGGGTTTTAACTAGTGAAAGATTCTAATTAACAAGGAGTTATATGAAATGTCATTGTGTGAAATGTCGTAGAATGAAGTTATTGAAACAACAAATTTGAAAGGTGTTACAACTTCCACTCTATTTCCTTTTTACATCATATCTCTTATTTTCTCTATTTTCCCTCTCTACCAAACATATTGTTCAACCTATACTATCAAGATTTAGCATTATCATAACTAAAGAATTGATTTTTCAAGGATATAATCTTTAGGAACAAAATGTAGAAAAGTAGTAATTTTGTGGATGGGTAAAATCTTTTCCTCTTTCTTAAAACTTAGAAGCAATAAAGCAAACAATCATAGGCAATAGTAAAATGACTCTACTCTTGTTTTTTTTCTTTTCTTTTCCCACACACTCTTAAGGAAAGACAATTTAGTAGTGCACTGAACTGATCATTTAGCAATTCAATTTTTTTAAACCTAAACTGGAAATGAGTTCATATTAGTTTTAATTGTAAGTAGTTCAGTATTTTTTGATGTAGTTTAGATCAAATTCTTATCAATTTAGTTTTGTGCAGATAATTTTGTCCACCCTTATTCATTCTCACGAAGAATAAAAGGTGTTTGTAAGTGTAACAAATAACCATGCTTAGCTTTGTACAAGTATGGGCACAATTTACCAAAAAAAAAAAAAAGGATTCCACCATCTACTAATGCATTATGAAAGCCATATATACAAAGAAATTGAACATTAAGGTAAAATAGTCATTTCCTGTAGCGAAAACGAATATGGTTAGATGAAGTAATAATTTATAGAGAAACATATATATATATATATATATATATATATATATATGAGGAGGGATCATTTTACTCTAAAAGTAAGTCCTTCTTTGTGATTTATGAATTTATTATGATTTTCAAAATTTTCATAAAGAAAATCAACAGTTTTTTCTATCTGATTTAGTCTTGTTTCTAAAGCAGATATTCTATTGTTAACTAACTTATTGTCCAAATCATTTGTTTTTTTATGGTCTAGAAAAAGTATTTTATCAACAACTTCTAAACAAGTTTTGTAGAAGTTTTTATAACATAAAGGACAATGTGCTCTTAATGTTTTATGGAAAAATCTTTTGCAATTAAAACATTCAATATGTTCTGGTCCTGCAAAAAACTGTATTTCATGATCACAGGATATTTGTTCTTCATTTTTATTCATAAGACTATATCCTAGATCATCTAATATTTCACCATATTTGTTGTACTTATCATTCATAATTGGGTATAATTAATTGTACTCATTGTTAATGAAATCATTTATGATTTTGTAGTCTTTGCTTACCTCTTCTTCTTCAGAAGTATAATCAGACCAACTGACTACTGAGTATATCTCTGAGTCTGTAGGAACTGTTTCATCTATAGAGATTAGGTTCATCCTACAGTTTTTTATTAACTCAGCTTCTCTTGTGAAGATATTTGTTTTGTTAGGGCAATCTCGAGACACTAGTACAAAAATGACTTTTAAAATCGGGGTTTTATAATCGGT